AGATAAGTAACCCTGAGCCAAGTCTGCCTCAGACACAATGGAGAAGTTTCTTAGCATAGTGAGTGCTGAGGGGGAGGGACCAGCCAGGAGCAGAAGCTGAAGGAAGTGGCTGACTTCGCTGTCATGCCTTTTAAGAACAGGCCATACCCTCACAGTCCTTTCATTGTCTCAGTGCCAGAAAAGCCAGCATTAAAGGTGGGAAAATTGGCCTCCCCCTGATAAGAGAGGAACAGATCTTATCAGTGAACACTGCACAACCCATACACACTCCTAGCTTGCTTGCTGAGAAATGAACAGGTGAATGTCCCCTCCAGCTACAGAAAGCAGGGTTCAGATTTGCCTTGGTGCATCTGGCTTCTGCCCTCTACCCAGCACATCCGATAAACCCCACTGAGCAGCAAGAGGCCTCACACACCAAGGACCCTTTCATTTAAGGCTTTCACCAGTTGCTTATTATTTCCTAATGCATATAGCTACAAACATGCAATGTGTTTCTTCTTTAAAAGATAGGATCTTGCAGCCGGGCATTGGTGGCGCACGCCTTTAGCCTTTAATCCCAGCACTTAGGAGGCAGAGGCACGCGGATCTCTGTGAGTTCGAGACCAGCCTGGTCTAAAAGAGCTAGTTCCAGGACAGACTCCAAAGCCACAGAGAAACCCTGTCTCGAAAAAACAAAAAACAAAAAACAAACAAAAAAGATAGGATCTTGCTATATAGCCCAGGTTAGCCTGGGTTTCTCAGCTTTGGAGGCTGTCCTTGAGTTTACTCTGTAGACCATCCAGCCTGGCCATGAACTCACAGAGATCCACCTGTCTCTGCCTCTCCGAGTACTGGGATTAAAGGCGTGCACCACCACCGAGCAAGCCTGGAATTCCTATTGCTTCTGCTTCCTGAGTGCTGAGATTATAAGCATGAACCACCAAGTCTGGCACATGATTCACTTTTAAGGCATTAAAAGATAATGCCTTATCTGGAGAGACTGCTCAGTGGTTAGAGTACATTATAGAGGACCTGGGTTCAATTCCAAGCACCCACACACAGTGGCTTACAACTCACATTCCAGGGGATCCACCATGCTCCTCTGGTGGGCATTACACTCACGTGGTGCACGCACATGCAGGCCAAACACTCTTACACATAAAAAGGAAAGAAAGATCTAAAAACAAAAGAGTAAACCCAACATAGAGAACCATAAAATATCCAAGTCATTGTTAAATATAAGTTAAGGTTGGACAGACGAGATTGTAGAACTGTCAAGTGTTTGCCTAAAGCCTGAGCTTTAAAGAGAGAATCAATTCCTGAAGGCTGTCCTTTGACATCCACACCCATTGAGTGTGTAGATGTATGTGTGTGTGTCCCCACAAATTAATAAAATCATTTTTTAAAAAAGGTTAAAGTCCACCTGGTGGTGGTGCATGCCTTTAGTCCCAACACTTGGGAGGCAGAGGCAGGCAAATCTAAGTTCACGGCCAGACTGATGCACAGAATGAGTTCTAGGACAGCCAGGGCTACCCAGAGAAACTCTGTCTCAAAAAACAAAAACAAAAACAAAAACAAAAGTCAAAGTCCCTATCTCTCTCTCTCTTTTTGTTTTGTTTTTGTTTTTGTTTTTCGAGACAGGGTTTCTCTGTGTAGCTTTGGAGCCTATCCTGGCACTCGCTCTGGAGACCAGGCTGGCCTTGAACTCACAGAGATCCGCCTGCCTCTGCCTCCCCAGTGCTGGGATTAAAGGCGTGCACCACCAACGCCAGGCAAAGTTCCTCTTTACATCCTCCTTTCACTCTTCAAGATGTCCACAAGATTCACCAGCCTCTCCCTGGGAGGTGCACAGGTTAACACTGTTATTTCTGCCACATCTTCCTCCTCCTGTACACCTTCCCTTCCTCCCAATAGGGCAGGCACTTACCTCTCATGAGCCAGGATTCTGTCAGGGACACATTCGCAATCCACTGCCCTCAAATGTTAGAGTGAGGACGAAACCTGGTCTGGCAATGCCAGCATTTAGCAGCCTTCCTATGGTATTTAACTCAGAAATCAGATACATCTTGACACCTGCCTTGGCTACCTACTCCAGCCAGGGGATAGAAAAGCTCACCCTAGGGGCTGGAGAGATGGCTCAGGGGTTAAGAGCACTGGCCACTCTTTCAGAGGCCCTGAGTTCAGTTTCCAGCAACCACATGGTGGCTCACAACAATCTATAGTGGGATCTGGTACCCTCTTCTGTTGTGTGTGTGTGTGTGTGTGTGTGTGTGTGTGTGTGTGTGTGTGTGTTTGGGGGGATGGGACTATATACATAATAAAAGAAAAAAAGCTCCCCACTCAGTGCTCCAATGGCATCCTCAAATCGATCCTCTCAGACCTCACTCCAGTCTTTAAAAAATGTCCCCAACATACTGAGTCAATTGCATGACCCCCCATCTTTGTTATTTTCTGCTTAAACATTAAGCTAAACAACAAACAGCTTTCAGCACCTTCCTGTCAAGTATACTCTTCGAAAACCTGTCCATTGGCAGAAAAGCAATCCTGAAAGGGCTGATGACACCAACTTCTACTCTGCATATAGTCCTCACTTAGAACCACTGATAGACTCATCATTGCAGAGAGCCCAAACTCCAAACTCAAGAGACCTTCCACCACCAACTTTCTTAATTAGAAATGGGACAGGCTCTGATATTGGGAAACCAAATCAATGCAAGTCAGGGTTGTTGCTATTTCCTGTAGCAAAATCAGTCTTTCATTCATAGTAGCTGAGTTCCTTTCCCAGCACCCACATAGCAGCCTATAACTGCCTGTAACTCCAGTTCCAGGGATCTGATGCCCTCTTCTGGCCTCCACAAACACTGCACACTCGTGGTGCACAGATACACACACACACACACACACACAACACTCATATATATACATTACAAATAAATAAATCCAAAAAACAACCTATCATGAAAGAAAGAAGCTATTGAGTTCCCTAGGAATCCTGAACAAAGCCATCAATTATATTTCAGTAGCCTCAAATTCATACACTTGTGAAATCAAATCGCTTTTAAAAAGTAGAAAACCAAAGCCTCTCCTATCTTGCCCAGGAAACAAAACGCACAAAAATAAGGCACCTGCATGGCTAGCCTGAGTGACCATTGGCTTGTCTTTCCCATCCGCGTTCTGTTCTGTCAAGTATACAGACACGAAAACACAAACATGTGACTCCCCCTCCTGCCCTCCACCTCGCAGGGGCAGGGAATTTGCCACCCAGTGACACCTGTCTCGACTCAGTAGAGGAATGCTCTCTCCAATCAAGAATTTGTGCTTGAGGTCTGGGTTTTTGTTTTTATGGTTAGGAAAGGCAAGGAGTGGGGATGTGAGGCTTGGAGCTCAAGTCTTAATTTCAACTTAACTGAAAGGCTCTCGTTTCCTTGCATCTTTCTATGCAGAAAACGCAGGTATATGGGCTAAATTTCAAGTGAGTTTTTTCTTTTTTTTTGGCAGTTAAAAAAAAAATCCCAATTAAAAGAACAAAAATGGAGGTTGGCAACCAGGCTGGAGATGGGCTGAAATCAAGGACAGTATGTGTTGCCCGGGTGCAGAAGGCCGGGGGGCTGAAGGCAGCATGCGAGGCTGAGGACCCCTCAGCGGCCGCCGCCGTGGGCTTCTGCTAGGGACTGCGCGGGTTTGGCTGCCCACTCGCACCTCGGGTTGGCCCGGACTTGAGGCTAGGCTCCTTCACTTCCGGTGACAAATCCCTCCCACCACCTCTAGAAATAATGTACCGTTTCCCCATCGCCCTCTTAAAGACCGTCGGCCCCATAGGGTGAGGCGAGGCGGCCGGGGAGACGCCGCAGCCCCGCGCGCGGTCGGACGGACGGACGGAGGGACGGCGACCGCCAGCTGCGCAGGGAGTGGCCGCCAGCGCGCCAGGGAGAAAGAGGGTGGGGGTGGCATGTCATCTCCCCCGCCCCCCCTCCGGCTGCAGCAATTGGCCAGGCGTAATAAAAGTAATCATAATCATCTGCTTTTAGACTCCCCCAGGAGCCCCGGAACCCGCTCCGGCGGGGAACCCAGTCCCTCATAACGGTGCTTCGCGCCTCCTTCCCGCCCCGGTCACTGCCCGCGGGGACCCAGGCGCCCCCAGGCCGCGCGGAGCTGCAGTGGATGGGGGAGGGCAGGAAGGATGAGGGTTAGCGGGGTGCCAGGGGCCGGCTGAGCAAAGAGGTGAAGGAAGGGAGAAGGGAAAGAAAAAAAAGAAGAAACCAGAGGCATGCAAGCGGCTCCCTGGCCAGCTGTTCCAGCTGCAGCTTCCTCCGGCGCGGCCCGGGACCTGTCCCCCCACCCCCCCCCCCCCCCCCCCCCCCCCCCCCCCCCCCCCCCCCCGCCACAAGCACACGTTCCTCCCCACCACCCCGCAGCAGATCTCCGGCCTGTTAGGGGGTAGTAGGGAGGAGCTGGGGGGAGGGGGAGGCCTGCGAGTTTCTAACCTTGTTCTTATAAACAAACCCACATGTGCAG